TAAGACTGCCTTTCAATTGACCATTTGGATGACTTTCAAGACACGATCGAATTTATTCAGTATCGAAAGATATGAGTGTAAATGGTCTTGATTTTTGAGTCTAGGTACATTTTGGAAAAAACACTGTATTTCTAAAGACTTGAAGAGGAGAAAAGTAAAGGTTAGGAAGCAGGCATGGCTCGAAACTACAGTCTCAATACAAAATTCCAAATGAAATGTTCTTGAAGCTGGGGCGACTTCCAGTTCAGCTTCTAGCAAAACAAGAGGTTCCCCAACCAGACACGCTATTTGCCCCTGCAGTTGAAAGCTCATATCCGTAATTAGAAGTTTTGCCTCTGTGTCCTAGAGAAGGCTCTGACCGACACCACATTTTATTTATACCTGCTGGCCCACTGACACGGGAAGTTCCGATCCGTTGTGATGTAAATCTCAGACGTCTTTCTGGGTTTTGTTTTTGCCTCCCTCGGAAGAGGTTTTTGGGAATGGCAGTCTGCGGGGAGACAGGGGGTTAGGAGGGAAAGAAAAATGGGAGAAGGGCTTTGACCTGCCGGAGAGGAGCCCCTGCTGACACGGTCAGTCTGACCCATTGAATGGCATGAATACGATAAATGCTGCTTTATCCTGCCTTGAAAGGCACGAGATAGCACAGTCTAAATGCCTGGGCATGCTTAAATAGGCGATTCGGGATGTTTGAGTTGAGCGTGTTTGAAATCTGAGCTCACTGACAGCCTGGGAGCTGCCACAGGTCACCTGCCTTGCTCCGCAGGGACAGGCCCAGGTCTCACAAGAAATTGTCCGTAGACGAATTGTAGTACAAATTCCTTTCTTTGTTGGTTGGCCTCTTTCACTAGACCATGGCCTATAAAATTTTGTAAAAACAATTCTTAAATATTATTTGAAAGGGCAAATGGCCCACGCTGAAAGGCTTGACAGTTTGACATATAGTGCATGGTTTCGATAGCTCGGAAACTGAAGAGTGTGGCCAAGATTCTCCCCCTGCTTGTTAGAAGCCTGGTGTTTTTTAAATAGTGTCTTGTTGCTGTGCAGGGTTCCTCTGCTCCTAGCAATCTGACAGGCAACGAGTCTGCTTCAGTGATCTTCAGTCTTCTCAGACTCATTTGTGAGAGAGCAGAAAAACAGCTAGCACCTTTGAATCCAGCGTCCAGAAAGTCCAGAACCAGCTATTGCCAATTAAGGAGCCATTTGGATCATCATATCAAAGCCGATCGCTTTAGAGTCTTCTGATAATAGCCAGAGCCATGGCCTAGAAAGAGAGAGGAGCCCATTGAGAAGAAAAAAGGGAATTGAGTGGCCTGGTCTCGTCAGAGCCTAGAAGTCGAAAGGAAGTGAATTTCTGCATTAGAATGTTGCATATGTGCAGCCAGTCTGCACTCAGCGCTCAGCGCCCTGCTGCCTCTGCATAGCCAAAGGCCATTTTCAGGAGCCTCTGGCCCCTCAGTCACTGGCCTGCTAGTTAATTGCCACACGGACTTCATGACACATGGGCAGATAATATGACATTTTCGGTTTCTGTCACTAGCAAACGCCACAACGTTGCTTGCACTAGTTGCTAAGAAGCTGTCAGAAACCATTAGCAATTGGCTAAAGTCGCCCTGTGGCATTTCCTCATAGCATCAGCAAAACGAGCATAAATCACCCACTGGAGCCTACTGCTATCCTAATGAGGCTGTAAGCTTGTTTATGGACTAGCATCATTTTTATGATTATTTCCACCTTTTCAGTTTGCCTTCATTTGGCGGCAGGAGAAGTCAGCTCCAGGAATGAAGTCACTCTGACATTTTACAAATGTGGTTCAGAGCTACTGCCTGCTGCCGTGTGGTCGGCCGGTGGTTCTCCAAGTTTGTTTAGTGATCTTAAAAATAAAAAAAGGAAATAAATCCTCCAGAGACCGCATGGAAGTGACTGTATCGAATTGCAGAGTGAATGGAAATGCTAAAGGTACAATTGACCATTTAGACTCTCCTCTGAGGTTGAGACGTTGCGAGATCCATTTTCAATTTTAGAAAGTGGAAGAGGTTAAACAATTTATTAAAATCTATGGAAGTGTTTGCTTTTAGAATAGTCTGTTTTATTATGCTCTCCTCCTTCCCCATCGTCTCCATTTCCCTAACTTGTGTCGGGAAGGAGCAGGGTTTATTGTTTTAGGCTTTTCTGAACATGCACCAGTATTTACACTGGATTGAAAGCATTTGCTTCCAATGAAAATCTTGTCTTAGATTACAACCCAGCAGTGTAATTTCCCTCCCAGATGGGAGTAAAGTAGCTGTATTTGCCTAAAAACAGTAGGAAGAACAAACTGTGCATTAAGCCAAGGCTGTTTTTGGCTTGAGCTAATGATGTAATAGAAACCTTTTATTCGGGAGAGGTCACTGCCAGGGACTGAAGGGGGTGATCTGGCTCTTGCTTTGAAAGGTTTTTCCATTGTATCTACATAAGTCTTCACTTAAAAAATTCTGTTCCTAATGCTTCTGCTTTCATACAGCAGAAATAAACAGGAAAGGTTCTGGTGAGTGTTACACATGGAATGCAGAAAGCCTTCCTCTCCTAATGGAGTATATAATTCAGGTGCCCTCAAGGCACGCTTTCAGGAATTCTTTTGCCTGAGGTAATGGGAAGCTAAGGCTGCTTTAAGGCCTTGATTATCTATTGATGCACAAAGCTGGAAAAAAGTCATCTCCGCTGGATTATAGTAGATATTTCCATAAATTATCAATGAATTCTCTTCTAGGCAGGCACTTGGCATTGCCTGCTAAATTAATCTGAAGGGGTTTTCAGATGGATAGAAAAGCTATTTTTTTAAAGGTGGAAAACAATCATGGCGGTGAAAAACTGTTGTTAGCTTAGAATCTTTTCATTTTTAATCAATGATCAAGTAATACGTTCTTTTCCTTGGTTACCCTTTGCATATTGCAAGTGGATTAGCCCATTGAAATTTTAAATGCTGTTGAGTTGTTTTCTTTGCTCATGTTTCTTTAATGAATTGTTATTTTATATGGTGAATTGCTTCTCTGAATAAAAAGCCTCTTTAAATACTGGACTTTTAAAGAATTTGTTAGGCAAATCCAAGAGGACTCCTTATAAAATACTTGGTTATGCAAATAAAGAGTTCTGTGGGTGGAAGGAGCACTGATTTAGGGATGTGGGTGTCTGGCCCAGCACTGACCCATCAGCTCTGTCCGTCCCAAGCCACGTGACCTTGGGCAAGTCACCCAACAGGAACACAAGCACTCTTCATTGATACGCTGAGGGATTTGGAACTCTGGGTCTTTCTGATCTTTTCCACTGAAAACGCACCTATGATTCTGAGGAACTTTAAAAAAATATATGGATTTTAAGTGCAGTACAATTGTGGGTTATAAATTAATAAAAATTAAACTCAGGAAAGCTCTGCAAACATTTTGTATGTGTGGCCTATGTGGTAATCATGGCACAAATGTTGAAATTAGTCTGTTCCTCACTCAACAAAGTTTTAAAACTTTAACTCAGTACAAGTCAAGGCAATTTGGGGGGCAAGTTTCTATTTTGGGGCATGGGAGGTCTCCTGAGGGAGCTGTTAAGAACAATCGAATAATGATAACATAACTGCTGTAGATTAGATTGAAATAACTGAAATTAAAAGAGAGAATTATTTTTGTATGTAGGATATTTACGTTAACAGAAAATAAGGAATATGGAAATTCAAGAAGCGATGTGAATGAAGCCGAGGCTAGTTTCGATGTACAGTCACTGGGAAACTTGTCTTACCACAGTACCCCGTTCTTTGGGCCATATAGGCTGCTCTTCAGTGACTTACAGAACCCAGTGAATGTGCTCTCGGGGACATTTATTACCTCACTGCTAAGCCTTGCTATCGGTCTTCTTTTTGGGCCCAGGTCAACCTGTCCCTTTCTAAAAGCCAATAACTACCACTGGGAGGTGGGGCTGCAGATAGTGAAGCATGTTTGACAGAAGCTAAGCTACTTTTTAGTTTAGTCCACTATTGTTTTCCCTTTGACTTTTGTACCAAAATACAAAGTGCTTTACTTCCCATTTGTACCTTATGACTTATTTTGGACAGCACGCATATGGGCTGAAAAAAATTTCTTTTCTTATTCAATATGGCATTGTAAAAGGAATACTACATTTTAAATTTTATTGTGTCACAGAGCCAAAATATTTTCTAAAAGAAACAACTTCAATGTTCTAACAAAAACCACTGAAAAAATAGGATCCAATATACAGGAATGTGTAAGCAGGTGACTTTTCAGTGAGAAAAAAAATTAAATCTACAAGAAATTTTAGAAATTGCCTGGATTATTAGGGTAATGCAATTCCAATCAACTATTAGTTTAACATCATTTTATTTGATTTAAATAGTAATTGTTTTCTAATTAAAAAACAGTTTCGGGAGTTTTTCCCTTATTAAACTTGATGCTCTCTTTCTATGACAAGAAAAATTATCTTCTATTTGAAGTGTTCCTATGTCAAACTGCTTATGTGATGGATTACCTACATTTCCATGGCCAAATTTAGTCTTAAGATAGATCACTTGTGGAAATAGTTGATATCTTGAATACATCTTCTCACAAGTTGACATCAGTGACTATATGTGGGATTTGAATATCCAGACAGTGACAGCACCTCTGCTAATGGCTGCCACCATATTTAACTCCCTTATTAAATCAGTTACACTTAACATGTCTCAGCTATATACATCTGAATAATTACCATGGCAACAAAGCTACTAAAGAGATTGGCTATTTCCCTCCATTCCCTTTGACCTTTTGCACTGTCCTTTGAAAGAAGTTCCTTAGACCTGACTACTTTTGAGCCTAGGCCTTGTTCTTTCTTTGTCTTGGAAAAAAAAAAAAAAAACAGTACCAAATAAACTATTAATCATTTATATTGCTCTTTTGGTTTTGTTTATATCCAAAGGCATTCTATTTGAATAAAGCATGTCAAGGTAGCATCAGTCAAAATTTGATTCACTATGTTTGCAGGTGATGGCTTGGACAACAGTGTAGCTTCCCCCAGCACAGGTGACGATGATGATCCAGATAAGGACAAAAAGCGTCACAAAAAGCGTGGCATCTTTCCCAAAGTAGCCACAAATATCATGAGGGCGTGGCTGTTCCAGCATCTAACAGTAAGTGGATTCTAAATGACATATATAAACTAAATATGGACAAACAGTTTTGATAGAAAAAAATGGGGGAAAAGTGATCCCTCTGGACCTGGAATATCTCATAAATATCCGTGTTCCCACAATTTTTACAAAAGTGTTAGTTTAGCACTTGTTTCCTAGATAAGTACCCATGAGGAGTTTGATTTGAAGTTCGCTATTGCAATGTTGTTAACTTTCATAAGTTCTAAGTTAGGTTCAGGAGTTCATGTGCATTTATGATTTTAAGTATGTATGTTAATGATGTTACTTTTCTCAGTGTGCCTCTTAAAATCTTAGAATCAGCACCCCCTAAGAAGAAAGTAAGAGAAACCCCAGAGAGAAGGATTCAATTTCTTCTAATGATTTCGTGGACCTTTATTAACGAACAGTCCGCAAAAATTTAAGTCTCGTCACAATGGCAGGATGCTCACATAATTTCCTTTTAAGTGGTTTGAATGCACTGGCTGCCATTACAAAATGTTCATATGAGTCAGAGCTACACAGTGAAAGTTGTCCCTGTGTTTAGAACTATAAAGGAAAACAGCAATATAGAGTCAACTCTTCCTGTGTAGTCCCTTGTGACTTTTCAAGCAGAGTAACAGTTTATATTGTCTGTGTTAGTATTGCTGTTTTCACTGCAGGAATTCTCCTGGAGATGTGAGAAACTGGAGATTTGGGGCTTTATGCCACAGGGGGATTTGTTTTTTTTGGTTATTGTTCCGAATGAATTTCATGTTCAAAATATTTATAATCATAATATTGAGGTGCATATTTTTGTAAGTGCATACTGATTTAATGATATATCTAAGGAAGAAGACAAAATGAAAATTTATGAGTAACATGATATTTTAAAAATCAGCAAAATTGTCGACCGAGAGACTTTTATTATGAGAGACAGAAGATGAATCTTGGCTTTTTCAAAAATCTCGGGAGCAAACTTTTTATGTTACTCTTTTTAGCATAGTTTGCTTTTCATAAAGTCATTAATTTTTTTAAGTATCAAAGTTAACTCTACATTGTTCAGACCTGTCGACCCTCACACCCTTGCCCACTTTCAAAGCTGTGTCCTCAGTGATGTTCTGATATGGGGGCAACAAGGGGATATCAAAGGCCACCCTGGTTCTGCTCCTCCAGATAGAGGCTATGCCTCCAGTAACAATTGCAGGTATAAATTCATCCAGATTTTCCAGCATCTGTGAATAAAATAAAAACTGAGAGCAGCAGGAGTAACTAAAAACAGAAAATGGTTTCCACTTTTCTCTTCTTCCCATGATGTCAACAGCACTGACGGTTTTGGAGTCAGCTTTCAGGGTTGGTTAATGCTGGTAGTTAGCTGAAGGTTTAGACTGTTTCGTTGATTTTAACATCATATTAGGTTTACCTAAAACGTGATTCGAGTACCATTACTTATCTGACATTTGTTGTATATTTGTGGATAGCTCGAAATCTGTCTTGTGCAAGGTTGCTAATGAGGATTATTGAGCACTACTGAATGGGAGAGAGAGGACTAGGGTTGAGAGGGCATTGCATGAAAAATAAATGGTACGGCATTTAAAATCAGCAGGAGATCAAGAAGTGACAACTGGTCAACGGTGCTGATGCAACCATGCTATTTCATCACTGGAGCCAACCAGCTAACCTAATCTGGAGGATGAGTTGGGGAAGGGGACAAAATCTCGACCCTGAAGTCATAGCCAAATTTTTTCTTTTCCTAAACTAACAGGAAAAAGAAAAATGAATCAATTTTGTTAGCCTTAATCTCCATCTGCAAAGGAGCTTTGGCTTTACCTGAAGCTGAGGTGCCCCTGAATAAAATATAATCAAATATTGGTTCAGACAGATTCAGGAGAGAGAGAAGCAAGTTCTTTTATTCATTCACTGGTTTCCTGGTTTTCTAGGTTATACCCTTGTGAAGAACCTTGCAAAGAGCTCTATTACCTTCTTTAAAGAACAAAAACCAAAGATCTTTTTAATAGCCAGCATCATTTTACCTTCTTGCAGTGGTTTTTGTGGTCCATGTTATGGGGTGGTTGTACTGGAAAGTATACATGAATTGCCTGATTTCCTTCAGTTTGGAGTCTGTGCTGGCCTGTATCACTATCCTGAAAGGGGAAACCCATTTGTCCATGTGTCCCTGGCTGTCTACGAATGCCCATAAAAGTTGTCTCATGGTATGTTGGATAGTTCCACATCCTCCTTCCCCATGCTACCGCCATCTGCTCATTCAAAAACCTTGATAATGATAATGGTCTCTAAAAAGAAAATGTTCTCATAATATCACCTAAAAAAGCAAAGTTAGGAGATATATTTAAAATTCTCCTGCTTTTCTTTCCTCCATGAAAAAGATTCCCTTCCCTTTTCTTTAATTGCAAGAGCAAACAGAGCTCCAGTTACAAGAAACACCCTTTTCCATGTCCTGTTATACTTGAAGGAATGCACAGACTGCTTGGGTAATATTTATAGTCAGGAGCTGATTATAATAAAGTCTACAGAAAAACGATAGAGTTTAAAGAGAGTTTTGTTGTGATTTGTCCAAATGTAACTAACTACTGACATCTCAGTACTAATCCTTTAGCAACTTCGTTTAAAGTTCTGAGGTCTCCGGGGATGCACAATTCATTTGGAAAACTGTGTACAAATTTTAAATGTAATGCATGCTTGCTATATGATTAATGCAACTTATCTAGAAAACTCTTTCTGAAATTGTGCTAGATGTAAAAGAGCAATTGAAACTCTGGCTAATTAAAACAATAGCAATAGCGATTTATTAGCAATTGTAGAAACTAATCTATTAAATGTCAAAGACCTATTATAAAACCTCACACACCTCTTTAAAAGCAAATTGCTATTTTTTTCTTTTTCAAATAAATGGGTCAATCTTTTCATTGGGTTTATTCAGTTAAAAAAAATCTGCCTTTGAAAGGGCTTTCAAGCATTTGTGTGTTAGAGGAGTAGAATAGGCCCCGAATAAAAAAACCTTTCTGGATTTGCACCCCAGCTGCATACGAAAAATGTGCCGTTCTGTGGTTATCCACAGGTAGATTTAATCAGTGGCACATTTTTACTACTCCAAAGAGAGAACTAAAGCTTCATTCTTGGACTCACAGTCTCTAGCAAACGAAACTGGACATACTTGTGTATGATGAAAACAATAAAAGAAAAAGGAAACAGGTTTTAAACTTCTGTGATATGGGGTAAAAGGAAATTTCGGTGATGTAAATTTCCAGTTTAGACTACTCAGTTGAACATTTGCCAGTTTTGATAACTAGAGAAAGTCTCTTAAAAGAAACTATTCCCTGGAATTGAAAAGAATGACTGACAGTTAGATAATAAGAGAGAATTAGAAAGAAAATAAAAGCATTTATTAGTCTAAATGCTTGCATTTGCCTGAAGATAAATTACTGCAAACAATTAAAAAGTACTTAATATTGGCATATGAGTCACTATATAGTGACAACGAGTTCAGGGGCATATGCCACATCAAGGTTTCTTTTTCGTTCTTAAGAGCATTATTCTAACTGTAAATATAACCTACTCATAATGTTTAAGTTGGATATATTTTGCATATTACCAGTTATTTTGCTCCATAGTGTTACAAAGACATGTGCCCTAATGAAAATGAAAAGAATGAATAAATACGATGTTTAAGGTAAAAATCAAAGGTCTTTTTTCTTTTTGTTTCCCTACCCTAACATATTACAGTTTTAAATATAATCTAAATAGAAAAGCAGGTAATATGGTTTTTACTGAAAATATGCAGCGACATATTTTTCTGCGTGGAGCTGCTGCGTGTCCCAGGAATCCTGAAAGTTAGAAGAATAATTGGCAGGATCACCTCATGGATTGTATAAATGTCTAACTTTTTAAAATTTGAAAGGAAGGAAGGGAAGGGAAGGGAAGGGAGGAGGGAGGGGTTCGCAACGCAATGCCTGAAACAGTCGAAGCCAACACTCCAGAACAGTCTAGTCAAGCCGGTTCTATA